ACCAACATAGTGGGCATTCCACGACATTCCACAAAAGCGAACAGTAATTCATTCCCAAGTACTCTGTCACACGCATTATTGGGGAGTGTGAAATTGCAAGGCATTCATTGAAGGTTCGGTTGATCTTCATCAGGTGTGCTCCCCATTGGTGTCTCTTGGCGATTTTTGAAACTATTTCAGGGAAAAAGGTTTTTCAAAAAAATAGTTTTTCACGTAGTATCCAGAATGAAAGAAGATAAAATGAACATAGACTTTTTTGGTAATCTTGCAAAAGAAACCCCTTTTCTACCGTAGGTGGCTCCAGGAGTACCGTACCCTATGGGAATGATGAAAGATAATCTGGAATGGGAGCGTTTACTTTTATACGGTATCACTGTTTGTTTATTAACTTAATTAGACTCGAAAGCACTTTTTTACAGTTGTGCGTTCTTCATCGTTATCGTAGCCTATAGGGTGTCCTCAAAGTCCGTTGAACCACATGGAGTGCGAACCGGAATTGTTCCTATCTTTGACGGTGAGCTTCTGCAAACAATTTTTGGAACAGTTTAGTCTCTAAATACACATTGCCCGGCCAATAATTGTAGACTAGTAGAGATAGAGAATAATTGGTTGTAGACTAAATAAGTTCGGTCAGAAATAAGCGATTCATCAGTTGCGACCAAGACCAACCACTCTGATGTACCATCCTCCCCCCTCCCCACCCCATTCATACTGGAGGGTGAAGCATAATGTCTTCGGGCCTAGTCAATGCTGCTTATTTTGACCCAGAATCCACGCATCTGTGATAAATCAGCTAGCTTCAGTTTCCAAATAAAATTTCATCAACCTTCTTCCCTCCTCAAATGACGACAATCCGATTTTCAGGTAGAATAACGAACGAACCGATCACATTCACCTACACCACCGCTCCTCCACCGACAAATTTTGTCCAATCTTCTGCGTATCCAGTACAATTCAAGGTTTTTTCACCAATAATTTTCTATATTCGATAGGATGTGAAAAAAGCTGAACTTCTGGCATTGTCAAGGGAGTTCTATATGCGCTCTACTCTCACTCCCTTTTCCCATCAGTCCCAGTTGTCACTGATATTCATTTCAATCCTCTCAAACCCTAACTGGAGAACAGTGGCGAGTCGCGCCTCTAGTGCGCACATGTCTGAGGATCGAATCCAGTGTTGAACTTATCTCCCTAAACGAAGAAACGATTTCTTGGAGATCTTCCTCATAATCTTGCGTGTAAAAAACTCCCCAGTGCAGACCGACTGCAGAGCCTGCCCAGTTAAATTTCCTCCTGGACTACCTCCTGTTTGAAAGCTTCAACGACGACTAAGCACCATTCAGAGCTCTTGAAAAAATTCAAGTAAACCACTCCAAAAAGACGAGTGCTTAACGCCATGAGCTGTTTTCCCCAAAACTTGAATCCATTGACATACTCAATATGTAGTACAGTTCTATAAATTTTGTAATCTTCTGCCTCTTTATCGTCCAAAGAATAGATTCTTACTTACAGAGCCCTCGGATCCTGCCTACTTTGAGTCCCATCAATTACAAGGACTCTCTAGTGCAGACCAATTACAAAACTTTCAATGAAAAATGGCAGTACTCTCCAGCTCCGATAGTGCCGTTAAACGAGATTCGAACGACTCCAATCTATAATCAGGCTCAATACTACGTGAGTAACTTTTTTACCTGACCCATTCATGAATGGGTAAATCCGATACGCTGAGAGGGCACGAAGAGAAAAAAA